TTAAGCATGTGCTGCTGAGGGTGCAGCATACTCATGCAGCTCAGAGAGCTTTCAAGAAAGATGTTTGAAGGTTTGGTTTGAACAAACTGTCCAAAATCTGCCCATCCACTTACCAACCTCCCACATATAAAAATGGAGCAACTAGCTTCCTCCAGCAAGAATGGTGGGATTCACATTTCCATTTCAGTACTTTGGTAAGTGTAATAAAAGGCCACAGTCTTTTATTTAAATAAATTTATTATTTATTCACATGTGGGGCAAGAAGGAATTTCTCCAGAAATGCAAGGAAGGCTGGCTTGGAGAAGTAGGCAATGGTTCACCTGTCTCCTTACCACGAACTGGTGCCAGGAAGCAGCCAATCTGTTATGTTGACTAATCCAGCAGGCACTTTAGAAATTAGTCCACAGGGATTCAAAGCTTAAACTATATTGGGTTATAATTTCATTGGTCCACAATCATGAAGTAAACATTTTGTAAATTAGTGGCACTACTCATGTTTTAACCCTGATCTAAGCAGCAGTCTCCCTATTGCAAAGTGTGGAAAATATTAACAGAGCCAGGTTTTCCAAAGATGTTTCAGATCCTAGCCCTTCTTCCAAGTACACACCCAAGCCCTTCCAGAAGATTGCTGTCTGCTTTGCCTTAAAAGAGGTCAGGTCTCATCTGCACTTCTTCCATAATGCTTCAGCACTCCAGCGCTATTCCCAAGTCCATGGCCAAAGCAGACCTGCCCCTGATGCTTAAAGTTTTCTGTAGAACTTTTCCCATCACAGGAGGAGAGGTGATTTTCTGCTGATTTCCTATTCAGCACCACAGAGGCAGACTCCAAAAAGCCCGTGAAAGGCAACTGAATGAATATACTGTTCCCTCCAATTGTGACTCCATAATTTCCTCTCATTACTCTAATAGAAACAAATCTTTCTAATCTCAGCCCTATTACCTCACACAAAGGAAAATGGTCTGTAATCCCGTTAGAACTGGGCTGCTGCTGGACACATTTTAAGGTCATTGTTCTGGGATGCCAGTCTTCACTCTATGTGACTGGGAGAAATGGGAAATGCAATTACTAGGCTATTCAAGTCCCTAGAATGAAACCCTGCCATTAATAGGCAAAAGCCAGTGAGAAAAAGAGCCGTTGCTTTATGAAATTACAGGGTTTGGCTAAATTAGAGTCTAATCAGCACCTCAGTAAAGGAGCAGGGTTAGCTCCTACTGCTATCCCTGGAGTTTCTTCATGTCACTCAACCAGATATTTGGCATCCCCTATGGAAACCAAACCTGCAAGATGGCTTATGGTCATGAAGCCGGTGGTGTACAAGTCCAGTGAAGACAATGGTGAAGGATTTATATTGTCCTTTGATATGGGAAAGCCCTTAGTGTTCAGGAACAGAAATCTGCCTGCTGCTGCCATCACCTCATCCAGTACTTTGGCTTTGAGCTTTTTGGCAGAATCTGGGATCAGATCTGTCTCTTAATATTCATGGCCTACAGCACCAGCTTTGCTAATTGCTGGTGCAACCCAGCTAAGCAGCCAGGTGGGAAATTTGCATTGCTAAACTCACGGAGATGCAACTTACCCACAAGGAATTCACATTTGGGAGGAGAAAAGGGGGCTTGCTCTGCTTGTGGCAGTCAGTGAAGCAAAGCAGAACAAGATGAGTGGGAATAATCTCAACCACCTCATTGAGTTGGCTTCCGTTGAGTGGTTAGACACTGACGTGTTCCTAATCACTCTCATCCATGTGAAGCCAAGGCATTTTCAGCTGGCAGCAAAGAAAGAGCAAGAAATCTTGCAGAGAAATGTTAGGGAAGACCACACAAGAACAATAATGACCATCACAAACAACAAGCAGAGACAAACTTTTGTCCCAGATTGTTCCTGGCATTCAACCTCCAACTGTTATTCCCTGCATTTGCTTCTCCTCCTGTCCCTCTCTTGAGCTGTATGGTTGTCCCTGCTGGTCTCCTGCAGTCAGACAGCCACTCATCTCAATGATTTGATGTCCCCCTTTTCTCCTTCTCTGCTGTGTTTTTCCTCAGTCTCCCAAAGGACTCCTGTCCCACAAGATGAGTCTGGGCTTCTGCTGAAAACAGAACGGTTCTTGCAGGTCCCAGACAGAAGGGATGTGGGCTGAGGTACAGTTCCTGCTAGAGGAGGAGGAAGCAGCTGATCACCACTGGAATCTCCAAGTCCCTTGAAGAGCTGAGAGTCACTTCCCTGTTTATGCTCTTTATTAGTCCCTATTCTCTTTAATCGGCTTAGACTGATGAGCCAAGGCAGCGGTAGGGATCAGCCGGGCTGTTTAATTAAAGGATTGCAGCTCAGCCTTGCAGTTTGGGGGTTTGTGTAAATGAGCTGCAAGTACATTATTTAATCTGCTGTGCTGAGAGGAGTTGGGGCATTAATGAAGCAAACTCTAATTAAAACTAGATGGCTGATGGTTATTAGTGGCATCAGTTCTGACAGGATTTATCTCATTTAGGGAAACCATCAGAGGGGGAAAAGAGAGAATAAACCAGAGCTAGTTTATCAGAATTCACAGCAGCACCACTTGTGACTTGCTGTCCTTTCAGTGGAAGAGCTGCACAGGGAGCCCCTATGTACCAGGCGCTCCCACCAGGAGCCCTGATGAGCTTACTTAGGGATATGCTTGGCTCACCCAGGAAGTGATTGCCTATTCAGGCTGTCTGACCCACATATTTCAGTCTTGACTGACTTTTGTTCTGCCTTGGTACAATGAGGAACCTGTTCATGATTCAGCAGGGTGACAGACTCTATAATGATATGATGTGCTTCTCCTTGAAGCCTACTGAGCCATTCCAGAGCACCATATGGATATCAGCTCCATGCTGACTCTGTGTTTTTCCCTCTCTGACATTCTTTTGCCTTCCTCACTGCATTGTATATGTAACTTTGGATATGAAGGAAGCCCGTGGCTGACTGCAAGACCTGGCAGAGACTAGGAAACGTTTTATGGCTAGCATAAAGCTAAATAGTGAGTTTAATAACTCTCTGCCTGTTTCTCACCTTCAAATAGCCATGATGGCTTTAACCATCTTTATCTCTGCATAGAATATTGTGTCACACAGAGACAGATTCAAGACTGCTGTTGGGATCTGGAGGCATTAGAAATGGCAAGGACACAAGAAAGACTGGGGGAAAAAAGTAAGGAATGCATGAGGCCTGCAGTGTGGGGCAAGCTACAAAAGGCATCAAACGGACAGGCATCGATCAGTAGGAGAAACCCAGATGGAACACGTTAGATGGGTCATTGTCATTCATCCCCAGTTCAGGACTTCCTAGCTCAGACTCATCCACAGATGCAACTTGCCAAAGTTGTTGAATTGCTGAAACACGTGATCACTCCTTCTTCAATTTACCTATCAAATCCCAGCAGAAGGAGGGAAGGCAAACTCAGACTCAAGGGATAGGCAGGGCCTTTGGGAGTCAGCAGGACAAAAGAGAGGACTGACAAAGAACATGACAAAAATGATCCTAGAACTTTAGACTGTATGACTGACAGCCTTGTAGAATAAGAACATTCTAGAAACTAAGGGATCTGATCGGAAATAAGATGGAGGCTGGGACAGGAATGGGGCAGGGTCAGGGATGAGGGTATAAAGATAGAACACTATGGCAAAACTGATCCTTAGTTCTAGACAAACTAGAGCACTTAAAAAAAACCCTCCCACTCCAGAAATGTAAGGGAGAGGTGGCTTTCCCTACTACAGAAATCTCCATGGTCTCCTCCTCTGCTGTCTCTTTTTCCATGCCAGCATCTCCCCACCTGCCATGACAGGGCTGCCATGTAAACTTCACAGTGCCTGAAAGCCCTCAGCACAGACTGATCATGGGGGTTAACCCTTCCATCTTCATCCACAAATGGGCAAGAGGTCCTTCTTTACCCTCTCTCTAAGTGTGGCCAAACCCTACTTATGAGCATACACACCCACCCATCCCTGTTCTCTTCACAATTGTCCAGCACTTACACTTTTGCTTGGAAGGAAATCAGAAACCACAGTTTGCTCCAGTGAGTAGAACAAGACAAATGTAATTATAAAAATGCAGTAGCCCCACTACTGCAATTCAGCTGCCCAGCTCTGTTCAGAGCCCTGCTAGTAGCTCAGGCTTTTTTACACAGGTGCCAAAGGTCAGAGGTAAAAGTCTAGCAGTGTAATGAGAGACATCTTTAAAGAGAAACTTCTTTGCTGTTGTCAGAAGGGTGATGAGGTCTGGGAAAACAGAGTAGGTCTGCAAGAGGTAAGGGTGGGAAGCCATGAGGGGGGAAGGAGATGGCAAGAACAGAGGAACAAGGCCAAGTGTGGAACCTAAATGCAGCACATGCATCTTGAGTACCTCTGAAGCTCTTTGGACCCCTTGGTCTTGGCACTGACATCTTTCATTGGTGAGGGAGAGCTGAGAAATGTTGGTGTCCCCAGACCTGGCTGCACTGGATACAAGCTGGTGAAAGTTAATAGCACCTGTCTATAGCTGCTTTTCACTGGCAAGCTCACACCATTTGACACAGGTAAAAATACTCCCCCCACCCCATCTCAGGGTGTGTGACAGAACCCTGAGTTTTTTGGGTGACATTTGCTGTACTTTAAATGTTATAGTGTGTATGTCCAGGAACCTCATAGTGTGAGATAAATAATTTGAAGGAGAAGGGTGAAGCATGTGTGTGTCAGTGTCACATACAGTAAGAAGAGGTACAAGCATGAATGTGGGTCAGTGGAAGTGGGTGTTTGAAGAGAGGCTGAAAAAACATTTTGTGTGTGTGTAAGTGGAGATTGGGGGGTTTGCAGGCAATTACACAACAGTATGAACAAAAATCTCTGGGAGGGAAAAGGGGGACAGCAATGCTGGGAACATGGGATGTAGGAGAGGATGGAGCAGGATTGGCATGTGCAATAGGTGATTTTTGTCTGGGGCAGGAAGGTCAGTGATGGATGATAAAGAAGCAGAAAAAATAAAGGTCTTCCTGACAACAATTTCCCACCTTGGTGAGGAGCCTGGAGATGAAGGCTTCTGCTCTGTGTCAGCTGCTGGACAACAGAACTGGTGCAAAACAGTTTCATTCCTGTAAGAAAAAACAAACCACAGTGGGTCAGTGTTCACTTCACTCAGCAGAAAGCTCAAGGGGGAATGCTATTTTTAGAGCTGTTCCAAGGGGACAGTGACTCCCAGTGATGCTGAAAGAGTAGTCTAATTATTACATGAATATTTTTTGCTTCTAGGTGGAGGAGAGCAGAGAGAAGGGAGCTGACAGTTCTATTCCCTTACCTTACCTGTTCTGCTGCTGATGTCAACCTGTGGAGAACGGGACAAAAGTGCACAAACCAAAAGTTTTCCTTCTTGCAGCATTTGTTTCACAATCCCACACATCTCATGAAAAACAGTGTTGACTGTCTTTAATTCTATTTCTTTTGGGACAGAAACATGTCCTTAAATGTGTTTTCTTGTATATGTTTCCTATATATTGCAGAGTAGTTGATTTTTTTCTTACCAGTGGCTAAATTACCTCAGCAGAGATACCTCCCTAGAGCACAGAAATGGCCTTAGCACATCACTACTGGGCATTACCAGGAATAGTAGTTGAGAACTCACAGGACAAGCACAAGTAGGAGGACTGAGACCATGACAAGAAAAAGAGACCATAGAAGAGAAAAGCAAAAAAATCAACATGAGCAAAACAGAAAAAAAACCCCAAAACTAAAAATGTGTTTATTAGATAAGAAAGACAAAAGATTTCATCCAAAGTTAGAAATCCTAGTGTTACAGAGATTTTAGACACTGGGTTCTCATTTCCACTAGATAGGTTTATTGCAAGAAATCAGTTATGGTATTTGGTGTCTTGAGCTTGATGCCTCGAAAGAGGGACCCCAAAAAAAGAAATCCCTTTTTAAAAAGACAATTATACCTTCATGACCTAAACTCCCCATAGCTCATGTGACAGTCCAGATCAACAGCATTATTGGGGTTTCCTTGCTCTTCATTGGTTTGGTGTTTTCTTACCAAGTGGTTGCCACTTTTTATTCTCCATATCCTCCATATATCAGTTTCAGTAGAGGTTTTGGTCGGGTCTGCAGTCAATGTGTCTTGGTTTGAAAGACAGGTGTCTGCCAAGGAAGGCGGGAGCTTCCCTTGGAATGGAGACTATCACTCCCTTCCCTCCAAATTATTCTTACTTTGAGCATCCGGGGTTTTCAGTCGAAGACACGGGAAAGGTCTGAGAGCAGTTTACCGTGTGTGTGTGTGTGTGTGTGTGTGTGTGTGTGTGTGTGGACAAGGCCCAGGAGCGGCAGCGGCAGTACGGGCCCCTCACGGGCGCACCAGGCCCCGCCAGCCCCTTCCCGCTGCAGTTCCGCTCACGGCCGGCAGGGGCGCTGCTGGCTCGCGCCTGGGCAGGGTGGGCGCGGTGCCCGCTCCCCGCCCGCAGGGGGCGCTGTGGCGCGAGCTCGGCCCCGCCTCCCTCACGCGGTGGTGGCGGATGGCGAAGGTGGGCTGCAGCGGGAATTTCGGGGCAGCGGAATGGCAGGGCAGCAAGGAAGAGGTAGCAGAAGTTCTGTGGCTGTGGCAGGAGCTGAGGGGTGTCCCAGCAGGTAGGTAGTGCGTGGCTACCAAAAAATCCAGAGCAGGGGCAGAGACACTGCAGTGCTGGGCAGCCGCGGCCTGGCTCCCGAACACGGCTAGGAGAGGCTCCCTTGGAGGGAAAAAGGGCTCGGAGTCCTGGGATTTCCCCTGAGGCACCTGAGCAGGGGGTAAAGGGTCCTTTTTTAATGATGTAGGGTGATAATAATGTCTCCCTGCCACAAGCAGAGCTTCACTCGCGGTAGGAGGAGGCAGCAAGAGACGAAGCCTGGCAGTGGTGGTGAATTCTCCCCACAGTGACTGTGGCCTGTTTCCCCTCCAATGCTGACAGGGAGAGAGAGAGACTGGGCAAGTGGTGGGATCATATTTGAGTCTATATTCAAGCAGGCTCACACAAATACTCCAGCTCCTACATCCTATCACACTGCTCATTTACAAACAATCATTTATATTGAAAAAGACCCTTGAGATCATTGACCCAACCATTAACCCAACACAGCCATGCCCACCACTTAACCATGTCCCTTAGCACCACATCTACATGTCTTTTGACTACCTTCAGGGATGGTAACTTCACCACTTCCCTGGGAAGCCTGATCCAATGCCTGACCATCCCTTCAGTGAAGAAATTTTTCCTACTAACCAATCTAAACCTTCCCTGGTGTAACTTTAGGCCATTTCCTCTTGTTTTGTTACTGGAGAAAAGTGACCAACCCCCACCTGGCTACAACCTCCTTTCAGAGAGTTGTAGTGAGTGATAAGGTCTCTCCCCAGCCTCCTTTTCTCCAGTGCTCCCAGTTGCTCCTTGTAAGACTTGTGCTCCAGGGCCTTCAACAACTGCCAAATAGAATCTTTAAAAAAATAGACACCCCACATTTCAGCCATTTCCAATTCAAGCATTTCCCTAAATGAACTACACTGTTCTCTGCTTTTATTCAAACAGCAGATGCACAACTTCAGTTCCTAATTGCACATGAAGAAAGCAAACAAGAGGGAGGGAAAACACAGGGAAAAGGAGGAAGGAACAAGGATGGACGAAAAACTGAGAAACAGAACCTTGTATATAGACGAAATGCCTTGCTAGTTAATTATCATGGTAGAAACACAAAGAAAAGTAAAAGGGAAGCTGGGAAAGCAAGAGTGGTGTGAAGTTTCAGGACTTTAGGCTGCATCTCCTGTGGACATTTTAAGAAAAAAACATCTCCCAGATCCTCATCAGAGTGAGGACACTCTGAGCACTGCAGCTGCAGTCAGCTCTTGACTCCTGCTCTCACGATTTCTTATGTGTGCTCAACACCAGCATTGGGTGTTTCCTGCCCAAACCAGAGTTGTCTTGAACCTCTGAGATCCTAAGATCTCTGGAATAGTTGTGCCCCTTACTCATCACCACCAGATGCTGATCATGCTCACAGGCAGAAATCTGCCTCCAGGCCATTTGGGATCCTTGAGTCCCACTCCAGGGGAGATGACTGTCATGGAGAATCCACCAGGGAGGTGGTGAGGAGCAGATATTTCCTGATGGAGTTAAATATATGAGAGGCAAAGGGTATTCCAAGCCTGTACCAAATGCTCTTCCTGTGACTGGAAGCAGGGAAGGGTATCTTATATTCCTATTAAATCCAATTTTTCAAATGCCCAGGAGAATTTGGACCTCTGGGGCTGTTTGCACTCTTCTTCTACCACTTGCTTCTCTTTCTGTTTTGTGATCCCCAGGCATACACCAAAGGGACTGGGCTCCACCTTGGAGAGCACTCCTGTTCATTTTCCTCTTTCTTTCCATCTCTTGATCCTGCTCATATCTGATATTTTTCAAATCCAAGCCCCCACTTTTGCAGCATAGCACCCAGACAGGAGCAGGGAGAGGGTTAACCTGTGGAAGAAGTTGACCCGTTCCCACCTTAAGAGGTTGTGTGTTAATTGTTATCAGGACAAAGCAGCTCTCATCTGGATGGAAAAGGCAAGTGCCCTAGAGCCTCACTGCCACTTCTAAGCCTCAAGGAAATGCTCCAGGAAAGCAACTGTCTTCCTAATTCAGGTAAGATGTTATTTTTGTTGCTGGGATTCAAGAGGCCCTGCCAGGGTTGCAGTATCCAGTGGCTACCTGGATTTTATCACCCTGTGGTGTTGTCAGCTTGCAAGTTTGAGGTTTGAAGTGAGCCTTGAGATGTTTAGTATCTGTCATAAGTCAGGGTAATACTTTTGATGGTGGTTTGTTGTTTTTTTTCTTTCCCTTTCTATGCTGTCTTTTTGTTGAGTTTTAAAACAAATCTTACTTCATAAGCCAGAAAGGCTACATGACTTGAACATGCGGCCTCTGAGGAGTTGAAACCTAGAAAGCATGAGTCTTGCTTTAGCCTTTGAAAAATAGGGAGAGAGGCAATGTAATGTCACTCACTGCTTTGGAGTGTGGATCTGTAATTTTGTTTCTTTTTAAGTACTTCTGGTGGGTGCAATGGGCAACCAATTAAGAGGGTGGGTTCAGGGCTTGCTTTTTTGCCCATGTTTTTCTCTACATCCTCTACTTCACCTTCCTCAAACCATTGCAGAGACTGAAATTAAGCACACGCTCTCATAGGCTGATTGTAGAGATAATTTCTCCCCATCTACCAGGATACTGTTGAACTGTTCTTTTCCAATGTATTGCTTTAAAAATAAACAAATTATCTCTTGGGCTACATACTGATGACAGCTTGGAAGGTAAAACCAGCAAGAAGAAAAGGTGTTCTGGGTGACTTGGGTGGCACAAAAGAGGAAGGGGCTCAGGGAGAGGAGGAGGAGGCATGCTGGGGTAATTGCTGCCAGCACTATGAGGCCAGTATGTGGAGGAGCAGCAAAGGATAAGGGTAAGCACAGATGCAAAGGGAGGACTGAGAACAGCCTGAGCCTGTCAGTGCCTTGCTCCATCCAGCTGGGATGCATGCTCCGGAGGCAAGGATTTGACAGTCCAGACCTATCTTAAATGCAGAGATAGCTTGGCCAAGAAGTTACCCATGCTGTCAATTGAAACATTAGCCCTCTCTCCTCTGAGAGAAAACAGCTGACTGAATTTTATTCAGTTGTCTTTAACATTGCTCCTGACAAGAGGTGTCATGCAGCCAGCTGCCTGCAGCCTCGATAGGGGTATCTGTGAATGAACTGTCCAGCCACAGCAATTCCTGCTCTGTGATGAACTTTAGAGAGGCTTGTGCCAAACCTCCTGGCTAACACAAGCTGTCTGCTGAACTCAGGAGTTAGCTCTACCTTTCTGGCTTCTCAGAAAGTTGGACAGTGCAGCAAAGGGGCTCCATGACTCATGCTGCCTTGGTCTTTCATTGATGGATCCCAAGGAGATAGGCTTTTTTTCTATTTCTTAAAAACTAGCATTGTAGAGGAAACAACAACTGGGGTCCAAAAATTGAAAGTCTCTGTAGCTTGCACATCACAGGGCCAAATGAAGAAAACTTTCCTAAAATTCCCTTAATCCTGTGTCCTCCCTTTGGACAAGTGCCT